TCTGTTTATTCGGTTTAAGCATATTAACTAGCCAATATAATAGAAAACACTAAACACTTATTATTATACATAGTCATTTCTTCTCAATAGGTAACAATCATACACTTGGTATTACATAGACATAAACACTTAATCTTTAACAAAACACCTAAAGTGCTATTGCAAGTACAATTACCACAAAGATACATATGATACACACCATTGAGCAAATACACATTGTCTTATACAATTCCTTTTCTTTCTTCATTGTTTTAGATTTTTACTTCAAGCTCTTAATCTTTGTCTTTAATTCATTGTCATTGTCTTCACTTTGCACACTTCCAATCTCATTAACTTTGCTTTGAACACTTTCACTTTCACTCTATTCCAACAACACACTATTCCTTTGAGCAGTAGAGGAACAACTTCTAATTTGTCTTCTAAGTCTTGCATTCTCTTTCGTTAAATTTCGCTCACTATCACGTAATTCTCGTAGTAAGTAATTAGCTCGATCTGGCATGCTACCATCATACCATTCAAAATACCTACAATCGTGCTACAATAAGGGGAAAAGGCATATTTGTTATCAATCGATATATGCGACAACATTTTTATCATTCAAGCTAAATAATACAAGGTAATTATAAACATATTCTTACCGGAAAATTTGGGCAACCGTAATACCTTCTTCCGGGGTTTAAATCGCTCCATGAAATTTCCCTAGATGCCAATTTATTGCAATAACACTTCTTTGGGTCACCGTTGTAAACAAAATCTCATCGCGAAGCACTAACGATGGTTGGACATGCGAACCTGTCCATTACACAATCTCTAATACAACCCAAATAAAAAACAAACAACGTTAATTATTAAATTAATTCAAGTGATATTCACAAATCAATGTTCATTTCGAACTAAACCAAATAAAAACTTGAATGAAAGATAAATTAATCGAAAACCCATTCAAAACTGGCACATACCCAAAACATTTAACAAAACTAAATCAAAAACCCATTCGAAATTGAGGAGATTTCATGGAGTCGAATGTGAAAGGGGATTTGCGATTTCATGTAATTTATGATTCCATTCAAACAAATCAACTCACCTTCAAAATATACACTTAATTGATCGGTTTGAGGTTGTTGCTTGAAGGAAAATTCGTTCTCGTAGAGGAGATTTGATGGAGTAGAAATTGAAAGGGGAAATGTAATTAGGGTTTCAGTTTGATTTATATTTAGGGATACTTGGGTTTGGGGGGAAATACCGTTTGAAGCGTATATGTATGCTAAACGCACGTATATTTTTTTTTTTAAAACCTGGACATTTATTTTTGGTTTATTAGCATAATGTTAACGCCCTTGCCCCAAGTTCGAACCCCATCCACCGCGTTGTGAGCCTTTCATCCCTTCTATCAAATACGCGCCAATAGGAGAGTGACACGTGTCACTTTCCTACTGTTTCACATTTTTTATTTATATTTTATTAAAAAATCTGACGTGTAAATTTCACATCAGCAAAAAAATAATGACATGGAAATGCCACGTCACCATCGATGGCCACATATGCATGCCATGTCAGATGGACCCATTGACCGTCAGTTGACTGACGGATTCCATCCAACGGAGAGACTTATGCCTCATAAACAAACGTTATGAGTATAACTGCTCCAAAAAAATAATTTGGGCACAAATACATATAGTGCCAAACGTTAGAGGCATTTATTTACATTATACCTTAAAAAAAATCCTTCGATTTAAATGCATAGATTCCCATTACTTTGCCTTATTTTTCAAACACAGCTTAGAGATTGTCAAGCCCTTTTCTTGTCTGATTCTATAGTCATTACTAGCTTTACTCCATACATTATAAGCACAAAGCTTCATACTTTTCCTCACACACTAATAATAGAAAAGAAAATATCTTTGTGTTTCTTGTTTGTTTTTACTTCCATTTTGCCTCTCTTAAGCAGGCATGGTTGCAGCCTCACGGATGTAGCTTTAACCCACCGAGAGCAAGTAGACTCAGTCCAGTTCAAGCTTTGTTTCCCTGTACCAAAGCTGAAAGCTACAAGCTTTTGGGTTTCGGAATCTGTTAAAAGCTTGTGCTACCGACCTACAGAGCCAAATGTATGTTGCTTAGACAGATTGGATTCTAGTTGTATGATTGTTAACAACTCTGCGGTTTCTGATTCACTTGGTTTTGAAGAAAAGAAAGCTGAAATGGAGAGTTCAGTTGAGAAAAATGAAAGCTTTGGGGGGTCGTGAAAGTAGTTCAAGCTCTGATCTTTTGACATCAGAGACAACAGTGTTCGAGGAAGAACACAGTCACAGTAGTTCCGAGGAAGAAGATCTATATTCACCGCCTTCAGTTCATTGCCATGTGCATGAAATTGCTGAAACAGAAGACAGAAAGAAACCCCCATGAATGATAGAATATTGGAGAAACAAAATTCCACAATTTCAGGTATTATGACTAATCATTATCTTATGAATATGTTTCCCATTTTCCTTTGTTTGATTCATTTTGTTGATGCGTTTGACAATGGGGTTATAGAGATTGAGTTGATGAAAGAAAGATTTGCAAAATTGCTGCTTGGTGAAGATATGTCAGGGTCTGGAAATGGTGTTTGCACTGCCTTGGCTATTTCAAATGCCATCGCCAATCTTTCTGGTAATGTTGACAGCTTCACTTGTTTGACCTTTAACATAGTTTTAATAAGCTTGGTTTGTCAATGTTGGTATTTGTTTCTGATTTCTTGTTGGTTAATTGGTATGGCTAATGGCTATTTCTCACACTGTCTTAACTATGCAGCCATCTTATTTGGGCAAATATGGAGGTTAGAACCAGTACCTCATGAGAAGAAAGAAATGTGGCGAAGAGAGATGGAATGATTTCTTTCTGTTAGCAATCACATTGTCGAGTTGATACCGACTTGGCAGACATTCCCGGACTGAAGCAAGCGTGAGGTGAAGCTATTTTTAATATGTGACATTAGGGCAGTATTGAAGTCTAGTGACCAAACTTTTTATCATATGGTGGATTTGAAGTTTAAAATGCCATGCCACTTGCTGTGATTTCAGGTCATGACTTGCAGGCCCCGGTTGGATCTCTACGTCAACCTCCCAGCTTTAAGAAAATTGGACAACATGCTTCTCGTAAGATCCACTGGCTTGTATTGCGATATCGAAATAAGATTATGTTTGCAGAGCTTATTTTTTAATGTAGCACATGCTTTTTGCAGGAGATATTAGATGGTTTTGTTGATGCAGAGTTCTGGTATGTTGACCAAGGGATTCTAGCTCAGCAGGCTAATGGATCAACCCCTTTCTGAAAAGCCCTTCAGCGTCACGAGGAGAAATGGTGGCTTCCCGTGCCTCAGGTGCCACCAGGAGGCCTTGATGAAAATTCGAGGAAGGAGTTGCAGCATAAACGTGACTGTGCAAACCAGATCCTAAAAGTTGCAATGGCTATCAACAACATTACTCTAGCTGACATGGAGGTCCCTGAATCATATTTCGAATCTCTTCCAAAGGTAAAAGAAAGTAAATATAAATTAAGTGTATAATGTACGTATTCTATGAAGTGTTGTTAACTGCTGCTACAATTTGTTTCAGAATGGCCGAGCGAGCTTAGGAGATCTTATTTATCGCTATATTTCATCCGATCTGTTTACGCCTGAATGTCTTCTTGACTGCCTTGATTTGTCCTCTGAGCATCAAGCTATTGAAATTGCCAACCGAGTGGAGGCCTCGATATATCTGTGGCGTAGAAAAACCAATCCCAAAACTGTCAACAACACGGCTCGCTCTAGTTCAAAGTCGTCATGGGACATGGTCAAGGACCTAATGGTTGATGGTGAAAAGAGAGAAATAGAGCCTACTTCTTTGCTTGAAGCAGCGGTTTGCGGGTCTTTCCCAGACCTCTCTAGATACGAGCAAGATTCAGCACAACAAGGTTTGTGTCACTGGTTCCACTTTTTGTTCTCAAGAAGGCTTTTAATTACAAAAGTCATGCTGATAACCTAGTATTGTGGTGTATAGGATATCGGAAAATCCATTCTGGAAAGATACTCGAGAGTTTTGGAGAGCCTGGCATTTAACATTGTGGCGCGTATCGATGATCTGTTTTATGTGGATGATTTGACCAAGCATTCGGATCAGTTCTCTTCGCCAAACAGAGTTGGTGTAATTGGTCGAGGTAGTCTTTCGACTCCTTACCACATGGCCTTCTCAAGCACTCCGTATAGAACTGCATTTACGACTCCCAACTTTTCAACAGCACATCTAGTTAGCCCTGCAAAAGGAGAAAGACCACAGCATGGGATTGGAGTGAAAAAGGCCTTGTTGACTGATTATCTTAGTATTGATGAATCCGGTTTAAGCATAGCTTGAGCAACATCGGTATTGTTTGAATGTCTAGACGAGGCAGCGAGCCTATCAAAACAGGATCCATCCGGCTTATTCCCAGAGAAGGAGCCCTGGGGTTGCACCCCATGAACCAACCTCCCGAGACAGCAGTATTTCACCTGTTAGGTATAGGAAGATGCTTGAGAACGACAAACAGACATGTTATTCAATCTGTATCGTCTGCATATATCTTATAAACAATCAATGGTTGTCTGGTTCATTCTTTGACCGGACACTTTTTAGTCTCAAACTTTTCAAGGTAGAGCATTTTGCCAATAGAACACAGATAAAAGCCAATAAATTTTCGACAACTGATTCTGGTAGTATGATTCCTTTGATAATGGTTAACAAATTTAAAAAGAATGATTCAACAATCATGAAGACTAATATTGATAACTGTAACATCAAAAAATGCGGTTGCAGAATATTTTTGTCAACACTTTCAAGTCTTTCTTTTACGACCATTTAAAGGCATTTGCGGTTTGCCCCCACCAACTGATAGATAAAGACTGCTTAAAATCTGTGGGTCTAAAGTTCCCCAATTTGGGTTTAATTGATGCTCTTTGGCTTGTTAATTAAAGGAAAAAAGAAGCCAACACAAGCATGGAAGCCGGATGTTGAAGCACAGTTTGTAATTCATCATACTACATCAAGGTCACTTGAGTACATAGTCTTCACAGAATTAAAGAAAAGAAAGTAAAAGACTAATTCTCCCCATTCTTCACACTGAAGAAGGGAGTCGAACTACTATATTTGCTCAGCCGGAGTAAGTAAAAAGCAATCGGCTGTCTGCAACATCTGATTACTGCAGTCTACATCCCATGTATAGCTGGCAACGGGTTAAACTGCCATCTGTGTCTTCCTATTTACCTGCTGAATATAAAGATGCAACTCCATCAGAAAATAACAATGAAAAAACTACGTGTCTTGCTCAGCATTTGTTGGATGAGATATCAATTGATCGATCAAACTTAATGGAACATTAATGAAAGTACGACAAGACCGTTATATCAGATACCTTAATATGTATGTTGATCGGCGAGAAAACACTTAGTAATAGAGAGATCCTGCACATACAAAACGAAGAAAAAACAAAGATATCAACCCTTCCAGTTAAAAATGTTCCAAATGCTATAATTCCTCATAATATACGAGATAATACCTTGCCACCAGTTTCCTCTTATTGCATATCCCGAATCATCTTCTCCATCATCCTTGTACTAGAATGTTACGAATAAAACATGTCAGTAGATTCCTCAATCGAAACATTAACATTTGAAATTCGTATGCAAAAAGAGTGCTCAGCCACCGGATAATTTCATGTCTATGGGACGATTTGATGTACTCACCACAGAGCCTATTCCAGAGTCTTGATTAGTCTGGGGGTGAGGGCATACGTCTTGGCCGCCGTAGTAGATCGATGAACTTAGATGACATGGTTGTGAGCATTGCTGCGGATAAATGGAACCCGCTTCTGCATTTGCACCAAGATCATAGGACACAATAAAAAAATAATTGATTTCAAAAAACAAGCAAAAGTAAAATAGTTTTACACAAAATGTCCAATGTAAAACAAAATAACAGAGCCATAAGGACTCTTGCAAGAGAATAAGCAAAACAAAATAAGGTAAAAGCATTAAGTGATGCACAAACCAGAGTTTGCAGGATTTGCATTCAATGGCTCATTCGGGGAATTCTGCCTTCTGGTTAGCAGAGAGATTCCTCCTGGCACCTAAACCAACACAAGCATGGCAAAACGATCGAGACAAAAAGAAAGAAGAAGCAGGAACAGAGAATTGGCCTTAAAAGAAAACTTGCATGCCATGCCATGCAGATGCTAATGTACAAGAAACAGGAGAGAAAGAACAAATACCAAGTAACAATGCCGCCTTGGCTTCTTTTAAGCAATATTTCCCATTCATAAATGAAGGAAAAATCTTTAAAAGCAATATCCTTTATGCAGTATCAAATAACCAGATTGAAAGATGAAAAGATGGAATCATTGAAACATTGAATAGCAAAGAAAAACCCAGAAAGATGGAACTTTGAAACATGATGAAAATACCTTAGGTTGAGTAGGAAATATAGACTCTAAAATCCTTGAACGAGACGAAGATGACACCTTTGAGCCAAAGAGTTCAGAAGAAGAAGACTTGGTTCCTTTGCCTTGCTCCATTTCTCTCAGCAAATTGGACTACTCTTCTCAATCTCTAAACAAAACTTGCAAGTTACAATGAACTCCTATTAGTATCCAACGGAGTAAGATCTCTATATATAGAGAGATATGTGCTTGAAACAAAGCGCCCAATGGAACCGTATGAAACTGAATAATTTAAAACAGGGACACGTGAAGATTGCGTTTTCTTTGTTTTTCTTTAACAGAAAATGAAACCGCCCGTCCTTCTCGTTAACCCATTTTTTTTATTTTATTTAAAATATTTCGTTGAATTTAATAAAGAATATATATGGAAAATATTAGAAGGCTGAAATTACGTTTTTTTTTTTTTGTGTTGAAATGGAATTGAAAAGAAAATGAAATTTTCCCACGCGGACCAACGGTATTTGTTCTCTCGTCTTTCTGCATTGTGTTGACGGGATGACAGATTTCTGCCCGTGCATAGAAGGCTGAAATTACGTTTTTTTTTTTTGTGTTGAAATGGAATTGAAAAGAAAATGAAATTTTCCCACGCGGACCAACGGTATTTGTTCTCTCGTCTTTCTGCATTGTGTTGACGGGATGACAGATTTCTGCCACGTGCATGCATGAGTGTTTAACTGTCTTCAACCGCCAGCACTACTCCTATCGATGATCCAGCCTTTCATTTCGCGATCAAGATCTTATTGTTTTAATTTTTTTAAATAAGTCCATTATGATGATAATGCTTATATTTTGCATGGTTCAACAACTTTTAAAGATAATGCTATTATTATTTTTTTCGTGTCAAATAATAACGTTATTGATAAATATGTTTTAACAAAATCAAATAATTTTTTTTTTGTGTTAACGGTTTAAGGACGCCAAATAAATTTTAATTTCGTGAGCATAACCAATTTAAGAATGAAAAAAATCCAATTTATCATATAAATTGACAACGAAAAAGATAGAATTATCATTGATAATTGAGATCGTGTTGTACGTGATATTGTTTGTGATGATACATATTGAGAAAATGTGTTGAATAAATTGATGAATTTAGTATTTGAATTTTCCTTAAATTTGACATATCTATTTGAATATTTGCAATTAAAAAATTCTTTAAAATTTGAATATTAATAGGATAATGTTCTATTATTTAAGGATTTATATTCAATTAAAATTCGGGAATATATTATTTATAAATTTATATTTGATCAAATACAAATATATTAATTCAATTAAAATATGAAATATTATTACAAATTTATATTGGTATAAAATATGGTATTGTAATTCCGAAAGGATTGCTTCACCTTAATTTTTTCCTTGTGCTAACCTTCAAGGTTAAACACAAGTTTAACTCGAAGGTAGATATTGTTAGAGTTTAACTCAAATTTGATCAGACTCAAATTTATTGAGGAAAGTATGCCCTAGTTTAATAGAAAGTAGAAAGTTATATTCTATTTTATGTTGATTGAGAGGAGTAGGAAACATAGTGACAGTGAAATTCTTACTATGCAAGTTTTTTTTTGTAATTAAGTAACTATTCCTCTCATGCATTCTTCTACCTATTGAGGGTTGAGGCCTTTATTCCTCGCTAAAGTCTCTAAAACTGGATATCCTCCAGAGTTCCTCAAAGTTTTTGAACCTCCATATTTTTCGGAGTTGCTCGAAGCCTCTGGAGCTTCATGTCCTTCGAATAACTACAACCCCTTGACGTAACCATTGGCAAGTTCACGTGATCTGTTATCTGACATCAATATCTATTTGCTCTACTAACCGACAAATGAGTATCATTATCCTAGTCTTAACACCAACACTAAAGGTCAACATATAAGTTAACATGCATGGCTCAAAGATGGGACTTTTCTCTCTCACAGACTCTCTCTCTTGATGAATGTTCATCGTCGTCTACAACCCGTTTACTATATATTTTTCCTCCACTAAGCAATCGACTGACTTTCCATTTAAACCAGAAGGAGTGAACCATCAAAAGCCACTACAAACCAAATTTTTCCATAACAAGATCCGATTTAGTTTTTAGATTTATTTTATCCAATTAAGTATCTAAACTTAATTTTAAGGTTCAATTTGATACTTATTTTTTTTAATATAATTGATATTTAAACTTAATTTATTGATTTAAATTGATACACGTACTTGATTTTTTTTATTCAAATACTAATTGACACTTATAGTTTATAACAAATTTAAATTGAAATACCAAATTCAGATATCAATTTGAACAAAATACTCCATTGAACCAATAAATTTTCTTTAGTGTCAAAATGACATGCTAATAAATCTACTTCAACATTTCTTTAGATGTCGAATAAAATCTCAAAGTCAAATACATATACCAAAATATAAATAAAAAACTATTTGTAGCGATATTACAACTCCGTAAGTATTCTTGAAATAAAATACTAATAAGTAGAGTGAATGCAATTGAATGATAGATACAAATTTATTAAAAAATTATTTAAGTCAGGTGTGTGATATGGGTATGTTCGGATTAGTTAAGATAAAGTCATGAGAATTGATAGAACAAAAAAATTATCAATAGAATTTATTGAGGGATCTTATTAATAAAAGTGAATATTATTTTCCTTAAACATTTGAGTTCGAACAATTACATCAATAAGTATGTTATCAATAATTTTAAAAAATTCTAAACATATACTATTTATAATCACATAAATCTTTAAAAAAAGAGAAAATAACCTCAATGACCGAAAATGCCTTATAATATATTATTTTGACCAACTTTTTTTCGATTTGCCAAAATGACCAACAAAATCGTAATGCGATCTCTAAATCGCAACGCGATCTCTAAATCGCAACACGATCTCCAATATCGCAAATCAGTTTCCAGATTCACAACGCGATTTTGACTATCGCATTGCGATTTTCCAAATTCGCGTTGCGATTTTAGAAAATCGCAATGCGAATATGTAAATCGCAACGCGATTATGACTATTGCAACACTGAATTTCAAATTCGCAACAGGTTTTAGCTTCGCAACACAAATGTTTTGGGTATATAACTACGCAGCAGCAGCAACTCATAACCTAAATCCCTAAATCACAACTCATTTCATCTCCATCTATCACTCTCTCCGGCGACATTCGTTCCTATATCCAACGACATCCTATATCCAACAACATCCTTCCCCATCCGGTAACAAGTTTTAATTTCGCAGCTCGTTTGTTTAGTAAATTAATTTACAATAATGAAATCATCTAATGTTGATCATGTTTGGATAGATTTGTGTTTTGGAGGGTCATGGGAGAATGTTCATGATGTTTTACAATATATGCATTTACCTATGAATCTTCAACTGAAACTGTCATTAAAAAAGTTAACTTATGAAACTCTAATGTTACGTGTTGCAAATAAATTGAATTTAGAGCCCCTAAGTGGATTTAGGCTATCTTATCAGAGAAAAGGTAAAGTTTATTTGTTAACCGACAATGAAGATGCTGAACAATTCATTGCTTATATTAGTGTTTCGCAAGATGATGTTACATTGTATGTTGTTGAACCTAGAAGTAGTGAAGTTGGGTCAGTAGCGGGTAGTAATCAACTAAGTTTTTCAACCCCAATTTATGGTGCTCAAAATTTAATGGTTCCACCACAATTTCTTCACCAAACAAATTTTGTTTCACCACATTTCCAATACCAAACACAATCTCAAAACCCACAACCTTTCCCTAATCCAAATCACAATCAACTTTCAGCACCAAATTCCAGTTTTCGTATTGACCAGTTAGACGATGATGAGCAAACAGAAAAAATTGTGAGTACTAGTCAGTATTCGAAATTTGATCTTGGTCAATACCCAGACTTTGATATTGGTCAATACTCGAATTTTGATGATGTTTCAGAAGAAGAAATAGATCCTGCGTGTAATGATTTTGATATTGGTCAATACCCGAATTTTGATGATGAAACAACCGCTGCTGAGGAATATGTTGTTGATGATAATGAGGAGGAAGTTACGACTGTGAACGAACATATTGAACATCCATTCTGTAATTCATATAACTCTGAAGAAGAAAAAGAAGAAGAAATCCTCGAAGAAAAGTCCCCGAAGAAAATACCACGGGAATATAACTGGAATATGCCAGAATTACTTCAGATACCGGAAGAAGAGTTGGTAAAGATAGTAGTTGATTGTTACACAAAAATTATTCGTATCAAGAAATATGATTGTTTTGATACAAAGAAAGACTTGAAGATAGCTTTGTATACGAAATGTGTGGAAGATAGCTATCAACTAAAAGTTAACAAATCAAGAAAATATCATTTCGAAACAAGGTGTATGATTGACAAAAATTATACGTGGCGTATGATTGTAAAGAGGATAAAAGATTGTGAAATATTTCAAGTTAGGACTTTTATTGATAAACATACATGTTCAAGAACCCAAGTTTTTCCTCAGTATAAACAGGCAAACAAAAAGGTGTTGGGTGGTTTTCTGGCTGAGTTAATGTTTTTGAATGGCAGGGTATATCGGGGACATGAAATTATGACTGACATGAATGCTCGGTTCAAGATTAGTATTTCATATTCTCAAGCTTGGAGAGCCAAATGTTATGCCTTGGAATTGTTGAGGGGGGTCTCCAGAAGCATCGTTTGCCCAACTGTCAGCTTATTGTCACAATTTAAAGTTGAAAAATCATGGGTCGGTAACTCATATCAAAACAGATAGAGATGGATGCTTTGAGTTGCTGTTTATCGCCATTGGTGCTGCGGTTAGTAATTCAATATAATTTTGTTGACTCATTTTTGTTAGTTACATGTATTTCACATTTAAATGATTATATTTCTTGTGTATATTATTTTGTAGATTCATTCGTTTATTACTTGCATGCGTCCAGTTATTATAGTTGATGGAGCACATTTGAAAGGTCGATACCTTGGAGTAAACTTATTAGCATTAGTCATGAATGCTAACAATGGGATATTGCCAATAGCTTACAGGGTTGGCAAATCTAAAACCTCTTATTCATGGACATGGTTTATGGGGCATCTTAGGGATTGCATAGGTCATATTAGAAATCTGACAATCATATCCGTTAGGGAAAA